ATATATAAAAAGGGGAATAGATTAGGAACATTAAATACACCTGCTGCTCTCACTCAATCTCTCTGACCACTTTGCAGGAAACGTTGAAAAGAAGGTTCTATAAAGCATGAGCGGTACAACAATCAAGCACGAAGAAACGTGTACAACAGGGAATAAAGGGTTCTCATTGGTTAAGAGGAAAGCAAGGCATGGGGAAGATCAGAAGGAAAGACAAATTTCAACAAGAAGTGTCTCATCCAATCAAGTTGCAACCCTCTTAACATTGTTCGCACCGCCCCATCCATGCAGTCAAGAAAACAACCCCAAGGAAATTACAAGCTTTGCCATTCACTCTTATGCTATAAATAGGACGTCCCAGCACGAAGAATATCATCGAATTCCTTAAGAAGAGATCACTTAATTTATTTTATAGTTTTTTTGTATAGTTTTAGTTGTAGTTAAGTAACAACACTTCTTCTCTATTCTGTATCACCCACTTGAGACTCCTCACGAGCAGCAACCATATTCACCACTTTTTATTTTATTGTAACCTAATTTGTTTCCAGTTAAATATAAGTGTTATTTCTCTCCTTTCCACTCGTTATCTCTGAACTGAATATCAGGTCTATGGGATTTCAATTTAGAATAATTATATTTAAAGTAGTAGGCATGGGTTAAACTATATGTAGAACGGAAAAGCTACAAAGTTCTTAAAGAATTATTTTCAAAACTTTTGTACTGAGCTTTTGTATTTCTTTGGTTAAGTAAGCTATATTCATTGTGTATCAATGGAAATTGAACACATACTGAGAAAGAAACTTCCATAAGGAAGGGATTTCAGACAGCTTAACTAGAGGGGGAAGGCAGTGTTGTGGAAAAAACGCGGCTGGTTGCCTTAGGAATAAGGGATCACCTCATTCATTTGAAGGTCCTGTGCTAAGTAACTGTTGGAGTCAAGGGAGCCATAGAAATATGGAAACTTGTGAGCCATTTAGTCCATGAGCTGAGGAATCAGAGTTGGCAGTGAAGAGACTAGAACAAAGACAAAAGTGTTAAGTCTTGAGTAGAGAAAATAACTATTTAAGAATGGAACCGTGAATCATTTCCTTGTGTTAAAACTGTTTTACCTCCTTACTGTTGTCTCTTAATTACTGTTATTACTATTGTTATTTTTCTCTTTATTCAGTCTTGTATCTATAAATCTCTCATGATTATTGCTGTTCTTTCTCTTAACAAGAAGGGTAGCATACATAACGAAGCGATGAACTGTTTGCTGTCAGATTGAACCTACTGTTCTTGAGGAACGTTTGACCAAATAGGTCAATTATTAACTTTTCTTTTCATTTTCATTCTTTTCTTAAAATAGTTTAAGGCATTAATTAGAGTTCTATCCTCGTGGGAACAATAATCTGGACACTAATAGTCCCTTTATTACTTGATGCGTGCACTTGCGCACTTGGGTTGAAGTTGAGAGGACACAAGTGTTTTCTCTTACTGAACTAGAACGTTCTTCATCATAATATATTTTTCACCCAACAAGCTTTTGACCTAACATTCACCGTTGGCATGTTTCTCCAAAAACTCTAAAATCCATAAATTTTCATCAATAATCATATTTCTTAGTCCTATGTATCTTTTTCAACTTATATTCAATCCTAGAGCACAAATTTTACTCAGCACATTTTTCGGTGCAATTGTACCGCTGTATTTTCATCTGATAAAAAACTATTCATTAAATTTCCAGAAACTTGCCTAATCACTCAATTTTTGTTCTGAATCAATTTCCAGGGTTATTTTTCCCATTTTTGACCTTCTACTAACATTTTACTGTTTAGGGTTACGTGTTTGTTAAATTACCATTTTACCCTTTTTACGTATTTTGACCCAGAACTCAATTTTCATTAATCCTACTCTTTAATCCTTATTTTAACTATAATTATGTGTTTCAATTCTACGAGGTGTTATATAAACTATCATGCATGGTCATTGCCCCCTCAACCCAACATAATCTAGCATGCATAACATCCTAAACTCTCATGCAAGAGAGTGAAACAGTCTCGTGAGCTCATTTTAAGGAAGGAAACAGGAAGAGCAAGGAGGGAGGAAAGAGTTCCTTAAGCTCACATGATTTAAAGACTCTTAGAAAATCACTTATGATAAATCTCTTGCTTGAAGGGTACCAAAATCTCACATGCAAGGCCTCTTTTATTTAGTAGTGTCATTGGTTTGGTCTTCTATGCACCTCAACCGACTAGCCCTCGAGGAAAACAAGGGATGATGGGGCTTGAGAGCTTCGACCATGAAAAAGGAAGAACTGAACCGAGGGATTTAGAAATGTGTTGCCACCTTGGAAGTTTGCATGCAAAGAGGAGGTTGTGTTGGTAGAGATGATGGTGAGAGCTTGGGTGACGACCGATGGAAGAATTTGAAAGGAAACATAGCAAGTCTTGGTACTTAGGTTGCAGATAATGGAAGTGAGAGTGTTGAATACAATTTTTTTTATTTTTTTTTATTTTTTACCTTATTTTCTGACTTTTGTCTCAAAGGAATAAGAGGTCCATTTTGCCCCACTTTAACTAAGGACAATATGAAGGGGTCACAAATGTTTTTGTCATTCATAAATTCCAAATTCTAATAAATTTTGGTTATATTCTTCCTTAGCTTACACTAAACACACTGCATATAATACATCATCCCATTACACTACGGTTATTAAATAAGGTAAGTAATTTAGCTTATAATCAATTAAACAACTAACTAAAATTAATAATACTTAGCTAACTAATTAGGTGGGTTGTCACATTAAAAGACTTTAATATATACAACTCAACTCAGAAAACGTCTATTAACCAAAGAAAAATTAAAAATATCATCCAAAGTGCAATGCTAGTCGCCCATCCTTATGTCCATCCAATGGTCCAAATTTATTCCTTGCTTGATTTAACTTGGTCACGTGTCTCTTTTAACATCTGCAAGCAATAGGTAATGTAAATTATGAGTAAAACCATATTGGCTTATCCCTTTTCACCTTTTTTCAAACTGGGCCATATTGGTTTTCTTTTTAGCCCAATTACCTGCAGTTTCAACTATTCACAACCCAAATGTTATAAAATCCATCCATTCAAATTAGCAAAATCCATAGCTAACAGTATACAATTATACACACACACATCATTGTAAAACTTACCCCTCGGACACTTTAACTTATCCATCGAACATTGTCATAGGCTCAACTATTATCTTCGTAATTTGAATATTAGTGATTTATTATTTTCATGTTAAACTCTTTTTAACAAACAATATCTATCCGCAAACTAGAAAGTGATTTAATTCTCTTACTAATCTAACAGCTAAAACATTTGATTTTTTTATTGGGAATATCATTTCTGCTTCAAAGCAGAAAAAATATTTTGCTTTTGAAGTGGCCCTCATCATATGTTTTCTCTCTCATTGCTTTTACTTTCTCTCTTTATGCTTTTGTCTTTGCGGTAGAGAATATTTTTTCTGCCTTTGAAGCAGAAATGATATTCCTCTTTTTATCTAACAATATTTATTTTGAAAGTATTAGGAGGAAGATTCAACTTGAGGCATAAATAATAGTGATTTTATTGCCTAGTCCATGTGATTTTAGAAGTAGCTTTGTCCAATTCTCTAGTTCTTTTATCGGTTGGTATCGTGCCCCCTTCGGAAGACAGGTCTTATGTAGGAAGTCTCTAGCTTAGGAAGTTGAATTGAATTAGTCATCTTGTTTGGTAATTAATATTTCCTGCTCCAGGTCATAAGGGAAGATTAATGTATCCAAAGCTATTATTGAAATCGGCTTAATCCTAGTCGTTTATTTCGCAAAGCTAAAATAATATGTACGTAGATTAAAGATAACTTATAATCATGCTATGTTGCTTTTAATTATGCCTTGAGTTCTTTGTTTGTTTTGGTCCATTTGTAAGATATGAACTTGCTTGTTGCCAACTCAAGTTTTCAAGTAATTAAATTTGTTCTGATCAATATTAATTGTTTTAAAGTTTTCTTAATTAGTTTTTTTAGAAAAAAGAAAAAAATAATGATTGATTCATATGGTAAAGAGCTTGTTTCCCTTAACTAGAGATCTAGATAAAATGGTCTTGTGAGAGCGGTCTCCTATAATGGAGGGACAATGTTTGAACTTGATTAGTTAAGTTTTTCGGATTCAAACTTGTGATATTTCAGTCGCAAAAAAATAGTTTTACCATTACTTCATGCTTGTCTTTTTCAATAAGCCGATGGATCTATCCAAAAAAAACAAAAACAAAATTCTAAATTCGTACTTATATACGAGATGCGCATTTGTAATTTATAAAATTCTAAAATCAGCAGCTATATATTATTAATGTTACTTCAAAATACTTTATAGAATTCAAATCCAGCAAGATTATCTGTTATTTCTTTCTTTTCTCTAAACGAATTGTCTTCATCCTCTCTCGCAAGTATTAGAGGTAACACCCAAAGACACATTTTGTGGCTGTAATTTTTCTATATCTTAAATTATTGGTTCTGTTATCTGTCGTCACACTCATAAGTTCAAAGTCAAAAGATTGAAGAAATCCATATTTTATTGACATCATAAAGTCGGCAGAGCATGCATGGAGATGCATGATCAAGAGCATATATGAACTTGACAATTATGTTTTATACATTACACCGAATTTCTACATTCCAACTTTCATTTAACATTTTTATTAGCCGAAAAATAAGACTTTCCGTTTAATAATATTTTATATATATAAGAAACAGAGGAATGCACATAGTCCGCGATCGATAGTATTTATTCATCCACATTCATAACAAGACAGACAAGTCATTGTTGCTCAAAATGGAGTAAATTTATTCAATATTCAAAAATAACATACAGACGAATATGAAACCACCCAATGTGTATATATATCAAATAGAAAAGTAAAAAAAATCCAAAATAGGAATTGAAAGAACCCTGTATGCTAAAAATGACCAAAGATATTAATAACTCACTCTTCTAAAATTAAAGTCTAAAACAGTAAGTTTGAGACAGTGATGGTGAGAAGAAGCGAGAAAGTAGCAGCAGCAAGAGAGGTGGCGGAGCTAGGTGATGGAGGAGGTGTTGCACCTGGCTCAGATGGGGATGCTGGAGGTGGTGCTCCTTCGTTGGAAGATGGAGGAGGGGTGGTTCCAGACACAGGAGGACGAGGAGAAGAAGGAGAATGAGCGGGAGATGGAGCTTTTCCTGGTGCAGGTGAAGAGCCTGTGACTTTAACACTTAGCTTTTGGCCACTGTTGCAATGTCCTGAGATGCTGCATGCGAAGTAGAATTCACCTGTACGATTGAGAGTGAATCTAGCCGGTGATGTTACCAAGACTTGGATGTTTTGATTCATGTTGCAACTGTCAAAGTTTGTCTTAGTAATCTCTGCCACAGTGTGGCTTCCGGTAGCGAAATTGAACACTGCAATAATACAATCACACAAATAAATAAGCGTTTAATTCATAACGGTGACTTTCGATTAAAGCCATATAATTTCAACGTAAATTAGTTGGTGATCCGTGCTTCATACAATGGCGCACCTATTATTACAATTGTTTTTGGGATGAGCTAACTATAGGCTTTAATAGTCCATTGTTATTACAAAATATACTATTTTATATATATAATACTAAAAACAATTAAAGTTTAGGAAGAGATAACTGCCAACTCATATTCCTCTCTTCGACCGATCTCTGCCCCTCAAGCACTAAGAACTAAGGTATGTTAAAAATATAATATAAAATACTTTAGAGCTTTATTTTTGGTATTCCCAATTTTTAGAATTTCAGCATTGGTTAAGTGGACATTTATATTATTCACATTTCAAGTTCAAAATGCTTCGGTTAAGTGGACAATTATAAGGAATTAAGGAGATATATATATATATATATATGTAACGATGCATGTAACTTTATTTTTGGGAGATTTGGTTGATGGAAAATAATCTATGTGAATATTATAGAAATATTAAAAATGTTGCATAAATCAAAAGAATGATGAGATCCAATTGGACTATGTAGGTTTTCATACTCACCTAGGACATCATTTTCTTTGAAGGTGATACTGGAAGCCCAGTTGGAGTAGAAGGAAGCGCCACCAGAAGGAGAGCTTATCCAACCAGTGGATCCCCCTACTGTGTGATCTGCAGCTTCTGTGCTTTGAAATATTGCTGCTGCAGCAACAACAATTACTAGAACAATTGCCATCTTGCTTAACTGAACCATCTTGTTATTAACCTTGTGTGTATCAGGTCGCCCCTGTTTTGTGGATCTATTTATCTGCCTCTCTATCTGTTTCTGACTAGAAGAAAGGCTTGAAAGTACCTTCTGTATGTGTTGGATATATATAGAGGATTGAGAAGCCAACCCAACATTAATAATAAAAGGAACTTCGTCAGAACATGACTTGGTTTTTTTTACCCTTAAAAAACAAAATGTAAAAGAGTTGTTCGGTCATAGTTGGAGAGCAAGTCAATGCATGGAAATGGTCCAGAAATACGCGTCGAGAAATTCATTTGTCCTCATTCTTCCCTTCCCTTCCCTTCCCCACCCACCCACCCCTAACATAAATATTAAATAATTCCGCAACAAAATAGATTAATATACCTTTGGTTGTTGGTAAAATTAACAGAATAGGAGTACATATTTGCTCAAACAATTTACTTTGAAATTTTATACTTGGAATTGGGATGAGAAAAATTCTGTCAAGCAGATTTTGATAACATGTCTATAGTTATGTAAAAGTTGTTTGGCTTTCAACTATGAAAACAAATAATAACACCAAGAAACTTCTTATGTTAAAATCTAATTTAATTGAATTAATTAGGAATGACATAAAAGGATTTCCAAATCATGAGATGATTGAAGAGGGTTCCACCTTGACATGGTCTGGAAAAATAAACGACCCGAGCTTGAATCAGTATTGCTAATAAACTAATAAACATCTTATATTCATATATTTTATTATATAACCTCTTGATCCTTCTCCCTATTGACTCACCCTTTTTGCAGGCATGGGTGACGAGTTCTAGAGCACCTTTTATTTTATTTTTTTATCTTTTTGAAACGGTTTATCCATTACCCAATAAATTTAATTCGAGCACGGTTGGATCCATTACAAGTACGATTCTCCCAAAATTATTTTCTTCATTTCTAAACTTCAGACACTATATCTCTATTTAAGAAGAAGAAACTTCTTATCACTTGAACCACCTGTAGTTTTCTTTTTCTATTATTTTTTTCTTTCTCTTACGAGGTTTCTTTAGGTGTGATATTATTCTTAACTCAAAGTACTAAAATTATTCCTCCCAACAAGTATTTTGCGACGAGCTGAAACTCGTAACATATTAAAAATGTTTTGACTATATAAAATGACGTTCGGAGGTACTCAAAATTGTTACTCCTTCAGATACATGTTTTTCTCTCTCACATGCATTTTACTTTCAGCACACTAGGAAGTCTCGGGTGGATATGGATGGAGGGTGCTTTGGTTGATGTTATGGGAACGCTCCTTGGTTTGAAACCCGTAGGCTATATGCCGAGGCCAATAGGCTGGACGTTGCGTGGCTTTGGCATTGACCATTCCAGCTTCGTCGTATTTTGATTCCCTATGCTTCCCTGCCTCACTAAATCTCTTACTTTTTCCCGTTTTTGAATGTTGTATTATGTTATTGATATGCATCGAAGTGTGCCATTGGGCGAAGTATTCTCCAGAACCTCTGGGTTACTGAGATATATTCGTATATCTCACCCCGCTTTGGGGACTTTATTTCAGGTAGTGCCAGTGGTGTGGGAGCGGAGGGCAAGAGACCCGTAGGATGAGCCCGTGGATTATGGTGGATTTTACATTTTGTGGCCATTGGGCCTATGATAGACTTAGGGCATGAACACTGTATGTTGAGTTAGGTTTATGCATTGTATCATCGCAGTTCATGCCATATTTTGTCTAAGTTTAGCTTATGATTAACATGATTTATTTTGGAGGATTGATGTATATTTTGATGTTGTTTCTTTAAGAATAGTTGTAAAGAAGCTTGTAATTTGTATTATGGATACTTGATGTAATATTGAAGCATGCTATATGATGAAAGGGCAATAGGCCTATTCTAGGATTAGATTTATGTTTTATGCCAAAGAAATGCATGCAAAGGAACGCTTGTGATTGAAATGATTTAAGAATTGCTATTTAAATTGTTAAGTTATAAAGTGAACCAAATGGTATAAATTGTGAAGGGTCGTAAGAGCACCAAGGCATTGCTGGTCCTTGAGTGCCACCCATGTCTATTAGGTACATTTGAGGATAATTAAGAAAAGTGGGATTTATTGGAAATTAGGTGAATGATATGTCAAATTGAAGCTTTAGGTGTCTAATTTTCTGTATTAAAAATTTAGAGTGATTTCTGGAGTGGTTTGTCCGGATTAATTCTTAGAGAGAAGGCTGTTTTGGGTGCTGTTTGAGGTTGGCTGGCAGATTTGCTTGTCCAACTTCAAACGGCGATATTTGGAGCAAACAAGAACTTTATGACTCGTGTAATAGTTCGTTAGAAAGGTAATTAAGTCTAGAATAACATACTAAAATATGGGAGGTTCGCAGCATGCGGTTTATCCACAGAAAGTAATATACCGAACCATGTTCGGATAGGTAAAAAACGTAAAAGTGAGATTTAGGCTAAGTGGGTTTATGGGAACCCCTTAGTGACTTGAGAGAGGTAATATATGATATGTAAGTAGTTTAAATAATTATTTCGCAAGAGTTTACAGTTACGGTCACAGCTTTTAATTATTACGCTTTATTATTGTTTTAAATGCTCGCATAATAAAACGAAAAAAAAGTTTACTCGCATTTTTATAAATGAATTGTTGTCATTGTAACTGCGCTTAATATCATAATCAATGTTAACAATACTGGTGTACAACGAACTGTTACATTTTATGGTATCAGAGCAGTTTACTAGGGAACTCTGGTTGTTGTATGATTGTGTTAAGTGTTATATAGTTGTATGTAGACTCTCATTGATTATTGCATATGTGATTCTTTAGTGTGGTTCTGATCAACCCATTCCTTTGTGTTACTTGTGTGGTCATCATAAAAAACCTGCGTGGCAACCCTAGAGCACCTAATGTAAGTCCTTAGCCTGATGTTGTGGCTGCAGTGTTGACTGCTCCATGGACAGAGACGACAGTAAGCAAAATATGAATATTAGAGGACTTAACAAAAACAAACTTAGATGTTTTGTCTGACCCTTTTATGTACAGTATTACCATAAATGAAATTGTGGTATTATGGATAGTAAAGATAACTGAGATGGGTTAATATCATGAAAATAGTATTGGTAAACTTCCTATATATGTGTGTAGAGTTAGTTAAAACAATTATTTACAGGTGGATTTGATGAATTGACTTCATTACGGTGAGTGATTTGGAACCTGATGGATTGTTGAAAAATATGAACAGGTATGCTTAGGTATGAGCTTGAATATTCTGATGTTTGACTAGAAAGTTATAAGTCCCTGATTTGAGGGTGTACACTTGAATGAAATGAGATGTTTAATGTAGAGGAATGAATTGAATATCTTAAATTTGAACCTGAGATATGTGACCACTTGGAATGATTATGCTAGTGATGTGTTAATTTGAGATATATTGAAATAGAAAATTTAAATCCATAAAGATATAGTATGGATTAAATATAGATGAGGTGAATTGATTATGTATTATATGTATAAGGAAGAAGTTGAGAGAATCGTCATGGATGACACAAGATAAATGTACAATGAAGACACTATTGTAGTTAATGGATGTTGATTCTAATTGGCAGACTTGCCATTGGTAAATGGATAGGATGGTTGAATGGTATAATCTTACGTAAAATAGTAATGAGAATTGTATGAGAAATTAGGATCCAGTGGTGTATACATATATTACTAAAAGTAGGATGCATGCAAAATAATCTAACAATTGCTATGAATTTTGGAGAGAATAATATGATGTGATATAATATGTATACATATAGATATGGTCTCCTAGTAGTAGGGACGGGACATTCCCTAGAGCAATACACTATGTGGATTGTCAAGTAGTGTTGACCAAAAAGTAGAACTATAGTTAAAGAATACCCTTGGAAGTACCCGTTAAATCTTATGCCTAGGAACATACTAGGCCTACAGGCCATTGAATAGGCTTATATGCCATTGGATAAACTTAAATGACAAAAGATATCCGTAAAGGATAGGTGGGTTATACTTAATGGACTGATTGTCAGTCAACACCTTGAAAGGAAAAATGGACAATGGTCCTGTGATGGCGTAAGTGCCAATATATATATATATATATATATATATATATATATATATATATATATATATATATATATATATACCTCGAGTGGACCTGAGTGACGGTATGTAGATATCGTGACTGTGAAATTGTTCTGGGCTTCCCTTTGGGGATTGGATCCCAAGAGGTATAACTCTTGGAAGTCCCAGGTGGACATTGTTTGAAGTGGAACTCATTGGATGCTTCTATGTGCAGATTGCGTGAACCAGTAAATGATGGCATTTCTCGTAACGTATTGAAGAATTGATAAACGGAGTGATGATGTCGTAAACGTAATGGATATTCTACAACCACTAAGGGGAGTAACGAGCAAGAAATAATGGACAATGGATTTGAACTGTAACATGATAGAAGGAACTATTAAGAGTTAGGAAATAGGTACGAAATTATGAGGATAATATGAAGTCTTGTAATAATGACTATGTTATAAACCAGGTCAGAGGATTAACCAAAATGAAAGTAAACTATCGGTGGGAAGAATTAAACGAGGAAGTTATAATGAATTTACCAATATGTAATATGTTTATGTTATACCGCTACTACTATTATTATTGGGGGTAGCCCCATGTGAATATACCAAACACATTTTGCCGTTATATACAGATATGATACAAACACCAAATGGACTGGGTCCATGTGTGATCTGGAGAGTACTGGGTACACATTTGGTCGTTATGTACGAATATGTTATAAATATGAATTTCCCTGTGTACTGGGTGCACATTATATGACTTGATATTACTATCTCGGTACGGCTTATGTGCCCAGAGAGTATGGATATCTCTCGGAGACTATTGTGATCTCTGTGCGGATTATATTCCCGGAGACTCTTGTTTCTCTGCCCTGTATTGAGGTGACTGCTGGTATAGGTGAGATATCTTATGTTACT